GAAACATCTATTTAGGTATGTTTTGATCCTGATATTACAAAGCTTCAAACTGAGTCCCTTCCTCCTGCCTGCCTTCACTGGGCACATGGTTCTGGATGCAACACTTCCTTAGGTATAGACAAGTAAAAATTCTAGGATCTCAAAATGCCTCAGTGGTATTTGTCAAGACAGTACCACCAGCTCTATGTCGAACCCAACACATGAGTCTGAAGATAAAAACAAACTTAAAAAAAGAAAAAATGAATTTCAATTCTATTCAGAAGCAACACAAATACATTTTAAAGACTTAAATTTATGGCTCTTCCCTTTCTTATAGATTTCAGGGCCAACTTTCATGTTCCATTTCTGACATCAGAGATAGAATACTGAGATATGTTTCCCATTGGAAATGAAAGGTTATGAGGAAAGAATTTCTACAAAAGCAAGTTGAAATCAGCTTTCTTCTCGCTGTGGTATGAAGAGGAGGAAGAGCTGGGAAAGGACTCCACAGAGAAGAGAGATCCTGTTTCTCTACACACTGGCTCTCCCAGGATGGCACTGATTTCAAATTGAACCAACACTCCTGTTCTAGCCCAGCCTGGATTTAGAAAAGCTACGCTCTTTGGTAACAGAGAGAAATTGCCACTAACCAGCTTTTTTATCTATCTTTTTTTCTTTCCCACAAGCTCATGAATCAAAGCTATGTGTTAAAAAAAAAAAAAAAAAAAAAGTCTATCTGGAAATGGCACAAACACAAAGGGTAGCTGAATTCACCAATCAAACTTGAAAAGGGGGCTCTCAATTAACACCACCATCTTCAATCCCCTCTCTCAGTCATGAAGAATTGAGAAGGAATGCGTAAGCCACACTTTCTTAATGCACTGAGACCAAACTAAAAAGACTAAAAATAGCCTTGCCAATCTACGCCCACTCCCGCGCCCCCCCTTTCTTTATTAGGACCATGAAGTGCAACATAAGTGTCTGAAGAGCAAAATTGTACAGTGTAATTGATTAAAGCAGAAAAGTCTCATAATCCTGTATTAAGGCCAAAGGAAATCAAAACACACTCAGGTTGTAGCATGCACTCATAAAAAACCCTCTCAATTGGATTTCATAAGAAATATTGATCTTGAGCTCCGAACCCTCTCACTTGGGCTACCACACATGATTGGGGTCAGAACCGTCTACGTTGCAATGCCTTGACTCATGTAGACAGAACACAATGTATAGGAATAACTTTATTTAAACAAATTATATCTGAGGCTGCTTATAAGACAACCAAGAACACTGTTATTTAAGGAGTGAAGATGTTTAAAAGAATAGAAAAATACTCAATTTCACCAATGGCTCTCTTAAAAATTATTATAGGTATAACCAGGTAAAGTTTTTAAATAGACTTGATTAAATTAAAATTGCCTCCCCCACGATACACCAATGATACATCTTACATTTATGTCTTCTCTAAATACACTATTTAATATCTGCACTTTTAATCATCAAAATTAACCACATACCTTCTAAATATAACCTGAAGAATAACCCATTAAAAGAGACTCTTTTTCTTTAGTATTTGAATTTAGCCAATGACTCTGGTCTATTACCTGTTAAATAGTGCTTTTGGTTGAGTAAAATAATGCCAGGTCTCTAAAACAATTCATACTTGTGTTGGCAACATTCTACATATGTATTTAAACCTGAAAACATGATTCAATATGCTGTAAAGGGAAAAGGCTGATTGTCCACTGGTCAAACCCTCTGTTCCTTTATCTGTGGTAACCTCCCTTTGGCTTGAAAAACTTCTAAACTAACCTACACTTGCAGATACTAAAATGTTTCAAAGATTTCTTTGGTGAAATAATCTCCCAGTGGCAACATGTTTGAGACATTTGTTTTTAAAGAATCTGAAGTGAAGGCAAGCACTGGGCAACTGGGAACCCAAGAATCCCAGCAACACTAAAGGAACTTTTGGTCCAGCTCATGGACTAAAGAGTGGAGGATGGGAAGACAAGAGTCAGCTTCCAATCACTTTCTCCTTCTGCCTTTCAAGTTCAATCTTTCTTTCTCTTTAATCCTACAGAAAATTAGAAACAGTCCTCTAAGCGGGGCCTTGCCCATAGCAAAATTAGCTTTTGCTTCCAAAAATCCTATGATCCATCAGCAAGTGTGTTTATACTCTGTGAACCAGCCTCTTCCACTCCAAAGAGCTGTCCTGCCTTTACACACAGAAACCTTCTGATTGATCTAAGATGAGCACAAAGACATTCATTCTATAAGCCTTGAGATGTTCAATTCAAGAACAAAGATCCTGGCCACTAAAAAATTTGTAGGTTAGTCTCAGTTAAACAGAGCATCATCCTTAACCATGTTTCTATGCTACAACAGGATCCGTCACTTTCATTAACAGAAAAAGAAAAAGAAAGGAATGAAAAAAACGACTAAAGTATGGAGGCAGGAGCAAGGAAAAAGGAATTTCTCTCCTGGGAACTTTAATGACATAATCAAAACAAATGAAAAATATGAATGCCAGTGATCTCTTCCATTCTCAGCATACAGTAGCAGTGCTGATAATCCCTCAAATGAAATCTTATTTCCTTTTGTTAATCATCTTGCAATCCAGGATGAAAAAAATAATTAAACTATTCTTTTCCTTTAAATTATCATATAACTTACCTATTTAAACTCATCCTTTATAGAAACGACATAATCTACCTTACATTAAAATTTCCCTAGTTGGTATATGCAAACCAGGTCCATTCCTGCTGGATTTTGCATACTTGCAGCACAGACCTGAATTCAACATTCAACTTCTTCTAAATAGTTTTTAAAAAATGAAAGATCTGGACTTCTGATACAGATAAAACAAATACTGCTTATATGTCTATGTGAACATTAACACCGTTCACAGATTTTCCACTCTTTTCCTTGGGGCTGACAGCCATGCCAATAATCATTTCTTATTAAACAGGCTGCCATTCTCTTCTACAGAGTCTAGGAAGAGAGCATGGAGGGGTAGAAATAATTACCTTGGGCTTTTCTTTAAAGACCTCCAGAATAGAACAACGCGAGGAAATCAATTGAGAAAGAACATGAAACACCCAGACCATGTGCTAGCCCCCTTCTTTCTCTCTCTCTCTCTCTCTCTCTCTCTCTCTCTCTCTCTCTCTCTCTCCCTCACACACACACACACACACACACACGGTCTGGAAGTATACCCACACTCCATCATTCATATCAACGGCATCAAAACAGATAAAAAATCTGGGGTCTTTAAGATAGACACATTTTCAGTCCACCAAACACACTCACACATGCACTTGTGAAGCCTTTATATTTCCACCACAAAACTCAAGCTGGATGTGTTGAGAGTCTCCTCTCAACACCTCCTGAAGAGATGTGATCTCAAAAATGACTGCTTCAGTCAAAGGACAGAGAAGCTGCAAGTTACTGGATCTACTGCCATTCTGGTTTATGGCAGACTCCCTCCTTCCTCTCTCCTTCCTCTCTCCCAATTTATCTTCTAGCCTATTTTTTCCAAAGCAGAGTAGAGGCTTTCTCCTTCCCCTCTTCTGAACTTACTTACAAATACACTAAATCCTTTTCTCAAAAGTTTCAAGGGTTCAATAACACCCAGGGTAAAATCACAGGTCAGGGAAATGAAAAATTAGCAGACGACTGAAAGCAAACCGGGTATTCCTAACAGCACTGAAGAGTTAATGATGAGCATTCTTCCTTTCCCCTAGATGGTACGGCTCAAAACATAAATACAATCTAACACAATATAACCAGACAGTTTCTGTAAAACAGCCTTGCAAAGAACTTGAACTGGAAGGCTGAGGTTTGTCCTAAATAACCTTCACAGGTTGCACAAACTGTTCCCATGTCCTGATCAGATCAGATTAAGAAGGTTCCTGAGATTTCCTTAGAATAAGAACAAGGTGGGGTGGGTGGGAGGTCAATTAATCACCTACAACATTTACAAAAATAGAGAGAAAATATACACCTCCTACACAAATAAATAGAAAGCTATCATGGTTTGGGTAAACCGGCCAATACTGGCACCGATTGAGCCCAGGTTGAAGATGCTACATTCAAAGGGTGACACGTTTCAAAAGGGTTGGATGTTCTCACCCTCGAGTGCAGAAAACTGTCCCAACCCGCCTATATTTTTCAGGCACAGAGGGAGAAGAGATAAGGTTCACACCCCACCTCTGGGAAAGGAACAAAAGCAAAGGCTTGGCAGAGCTGAAAAAACTCCTCTGTCAGGACCCTAGAGGTGGCAGCTCTGCAGGGCTCCCTTCATATTTCCTCCTAGTTAACTCACTCTCTGCAGACACAGAATCAATTTCTACACCCTGGAATGGCCACGGGCAGGCTGGGGAGTGATCAGTTTAGTCCTTCGCTGTGGATCGCCTCCTTTCGCTACCTCTCCCAATGGCTTCTAATTAACCCTTGCCGGTCCCCGCCCGGGTCAGGGGCGCTAGAAGCGTCTCCGGCTGCACTCCACCATCATAGCTCCATCAAATCGTCACCCCACACGGGGACCTAACTTCCCTTCGCGGTTTACAGTCGGCCAATTTGCATGTGCTTTTCTTGCCTCCCTTCCCACAGGCGGGCGGGGAAGGGACTGGGCGCATTCGGGAAGGCCCTCCCTCCTCCCGGCCCTCTACAGGAACGGGCTCGGAGCTCGCCAGCAGGTCTGCAGTGAGCAGGGATCGCACCCGCGTTAACCCTTTGCAGGGCCTGGGCGGTCTGCTCCCATTTGGGACCCACTGAAGTGGGGCCCCCTGGAGCCCGACAGTCGCCCTCCCCTCCCTGCCACCCCCACCTCTCCCCCCAACACGCCCCAGAGCAGGCTGGCACCTTCCCCCGGCCCCGCGGCCAGCTTTCACTGGCTCCCACTCTGTGCCCCGACCTGGGATGGGGGAGGGGGCTTGCTAGAAGGCAGGCGGCGAGGGGCAAAGGCGGCAGGAGGCAGGAAGGGAACGCAGTAGTAAATCAGAGTTGAGGCGGTGTTTACTTACGAAATTTGGGGCTGGTGGTAGTTTCTGGTGTGGTGGTGGTAGTGGAGGAAGAGGAGGAGGAGGAGGAGGAGGAGGCAGCATCCTGAAAGGGAGACAGGGTCCAGGAGGGAGTCGAATCATGAAGGTAGGAGGAGGTAGCATATGCCGCAGTGGGCCAGGAGGGCATTGCCTGGGTACTGAGGGTTCCTGGCACCGGGGGCCGGGAGCCCGGCGTGCTGCTACTGATGAAAGGGGCCGTGGTGGACAGGACCGTCGAGGGGGCCGCAGTGCTCCGTGCTGTGGTGGAGCGCGGGCTGGCCCGGATGGGCACCCGGTGCCCGGGGAAGCGAGTGGGCGCCCGCGTGATGGTGGTCAGGCGGGTGCTAATCCGGTTGGGCGTCCTGGAGGAGGCGGCGCCGCCGGCGGAGGGGGTGGCGGGGGACGTGGTGGAAGTGGTCGTGGTCGTGGTCTCCATGGCCTTGGGGAAAGAGCTGGGCTTGGAGAGGAAGAAAGGGTCCTGGCCCATCCCCTTGGAGTCCACCAGGTCGGTGGGCACGTACTCCTTGACGGAGCCCACCACGATCCATTTGAGGAGCATGAGGCTGAGCCCCAGGCCGATGAAGCCGATAAACAGAGGCACCACGCACAGCCACGTCTGCTGCCGGTTCCACACGATGCAGTCGCTACAGCGTAACTCCCGGGGGGGCTCGGCCGCCCCTTCGCCGCCGCCGTCCGGGCCCCCGCCCGCCGCCGCCGCCGCCGCCGCAGCCGCCGCGGTGCCCTCCTCGGCCGAGGCGGCGGCTGCCGAAGCGGCACCAGGTGGCGAGGCAGCGGCCGCCCCTTCACTCATCCTAGGAGCCGGTCTTCACCTTCGCCCCCCCGAGGGCCGCGCCAGAGGCATGGGGCCGCGCGGGCCGGGCGCGGGCGCGGGCTCCGGCGGCGGCGGCGGGCTCGGGCGCAGGCAGCGGCCGCGGCGGCCGCATGCAAATCGGCTCCCTGCCCCCACGCCCCTCCCCCCGAGAGGCGGGCGGCGGGCGGGGAGGAGAGCGCGGGGGAGGGGACGCGGGCCGGGGAGGGGGCGGCGAGGAGCGCGAGAGGGGCGCGCCGGGCCCCTGCGCCGCGCGTCGGGTCGTCAGGGCGGCGGGGCGCGTGTGCAGCCCGCCGAGCGGCTCCCGCGCGCCGCGCCCCGCGCCGCTGTCGCTGCTGCTGCCGCCGCCGCCCGCCGCCTGCGTGCGCTCCAGCCGCGCCGGCATCCTCGGGGCGCCGCGCCCGGCCCGCTCCTGGGCGCCGCCCGCGCCGCGGCTGGGCCTCGCGCCGCCTTCAGGGGCCGAGCCTGCGGGCCGCGGCGCCGGGCGCCGCCGAGCCGCATTCCGACACAGAGGGCCGGCCTGGCCGCCGCTCGCCCGGCCGGCGCGCCACGTTCCTCGGCGGCTGCTCCGCGCGCCGCGGCGGCGAGGTGCACCTGTTCTTCAGCCGGCCCGCAGCCAACCCTCGGCCAGCGCTCTCCGGGAGAGACCAATCCGAGCGCGGCGCGGAGGGCTGGGGCCCGGCCGGCCGCCTCGCTCCCGCCGCCCTCCGCTCGCTCGCTCGCTGGCTCGCGCCGCCGCCCAGCTCAAACTCCTGCGAGCGCCGCCGCGCGCGGGCCGGGGCCGGGCGCACTGGGCGCCCGCGGCGGGGCGGTGCGCTCCGACCCGCCGCCGAGGGGAGCGGCGAGCAGGCGGAGGGGCCGGAGTCACGCCCCAGCGCCTGCCGTGGAGCGTGCGGGGGGACGCGGGACACCGCGTCGGGGCTGCCCGGCGACGCGGCCCCGGCCGGAGCGGCTCCGGGCGGGCTCGGCGGCGCGAGTGTGTGTGCCAGCCGCCGCGGCGGGCTGGGATTCGGGCAGAGTAGCGCCTCCCACCAGCACCTAATGGTGGTTTCTTAATACGCACAAGATAAATAAATGATCCGAGCAAGCCCCCGTCCGGGGGTGCGTGGCAAAAGAAGCTGCCGACCGGCTGCGACCCCGTCTCCTGCGCGGAACCGGTGGGGTCAGAGGCTGACGCTGCGGGGCCAGGCAGTGGGGGCGGGGGCGGGAGGGAGGTGCCGCTTCATGGAGAGCCACCTTTGCCTCCAGTTCCTGCTGGTGAAGCACACGACCTTTGTGCAATCGGACCTGTCAGATATCTCCAAGCTTTTTGTGACTTACCTTTAAAAAAAAAAAAAAAGTGTCGTCTTTAAACGTAGGTGCCAGCATAGGCACACGCGTCCTGAGGCAAATGCTCGTGAGAAGTGACATGTAAGACGATTTGGGTCGGTATCCGGAATTCTGTTGCCGGTTTCTTCCCTTGGTTAGGGAGGCACCTGTATGCCTAAACCTCAGGTGCAATGTGGTGCCTGCCTGGGGAACGAGGAGGCACAGAGGAGAAAGAAGGGGTAAAGAGCCAGCCTTCGCATGGTATATGCTGATGGTGCAAAACCCTGCTCGCCAACTCTCCGCGTATTTCCTAGACTAAAGTGAAAAGCAAAGAGGCGGTGTTTTTATTTACAAGCTCCAAGAATAAGAGGTTGAGAATGGCAGCTTCCTAATACACCTCCCCGGCACTGTGTGACTGGCGTGGATGATGGAGACGACATTCTCTTGTCCTATGATAGTCTCCACAAAGATGAAGTTTTCAAGGTATCCATTTTATTCACAGGTGAAGAACCGAGCTGCACGATGAAGAGACTGCAGAGAGCAGAGGATTCATTTCAACAGGAAGCCCCTGGGGTTTGGTGCCTACCAGGGTACTTTGCACAGACACGGTTAATAAATTATTTTTGATGGCAGTAATGCGGCTGTCACCTCTTTCAGCTATAACATTGAGACTTTCCCCATAGGAAAGCTTTTTGATTTTTAGTTTGATAGAACATGCCCTAATCCAGTAGTGCTGAATTATGGTTGCAAAAATTACAAGTGAAAAAAATACCAAAAACCCTTGAATCCCTTACACATACTCCTTCAGCTTCCCAATGCAAATCTCGGTTCTCTTAAGTAAAAATTGACCCAATCTTACCTTCTGTGGGTGCTAGGAATCTACTGCCTAGCCTTTCTTGTATAGCAAAAAAGAAAGCTTTCCCACAGAACTCTTTGGAATTGTAGCAGGTGCTGCTTTTAGCTATTTGAGACAGAAAATTACTTTTCCAAAGCACTCTAGTTCATTGCCCCCCCTCCCCCCAGTATTCCTGCGGTGTCTCCCAGCTTCCCTGCCTGCTGAAGTAAATCCAGAGTACAAAAAGGTGTAATGCTGTAATGCCGCAGCTGGGCAAATGCTCCCCTTTCCTGAAACCACAGTCCGACAGCGTTCGCTCCATGTTCTCTCAGTGCTCCCTGATGCCTTCTTCATCTACCTCTCCAAATTCCCTCCACTTCTCATTTCTGCTTGGCTTTAACAGCTTATTCATGGATCCCTGTTGAGCTCATTTTCTCCCAGATCCCAAGCCACTACACTCAACTACCCACTGGCTGCTCTCACAATGTGTATCATCACGGGAAGAGGAAGAAAAAAAAAGACCATTGCTTTGATAGCCTGGTATTGGGGAGCAGGATGTACTAGCCCATCCAAGAAAGTTTGGCTAGTGGAATCATCATTAACTTGTGGTTTTATTGTGAGGCTCCCTGGTAGCAGGTGGTAGGCACTGGAACAGAAATGGGGAGTGGGGTGGAGGGGGCTGTCCACAGTTGAGTTAAGGACACTTGGTGGACCCTCCCAGTGCTAATGAGCAGCCAGTTAGTCCCACGGTGAGGAGGAGCTTCATTCTGATGATGCACAGCTCATTGAAGCAGCATGCTGGAGAAAACTTCAGATTCAGACGCTTAAGACAGGGATTCAAGTTAGAGCTCTGCCCCTTACAGGCAATGAAATCTCTCTTGGCCACTGTTTTCTTAAATGTGAAATGGAGCTATAATACCTACATTCTATATAATTATATAGAAATTGTATAATTATATATGAAATTATATAGCTAAACAGACCATTCACCTAGGGTATCTCCTAAGCTTTACCAGATACCTTCCTGTAGAGAGGGGTGTGGATTGTTCTAACAAATGGGTATGTCATGCCTCAGCCTCTCCTGAGCTCCATATCTGCTTGACTGTAATTACCTCTGGGTATCTCATGTGTGGTCCACTAACACATCGAACTTGGAATTTCTAATCATTGCCTAATGTCTGCCCACAAATCAGCATTTCTATTGAAATTCAGTTTTCCTTTCCATGGTGCCAATATCCCCAGGCTGGGAGGCTCAGTGCCATCTCTGACTCCTTATTCCCTATTTCCCAAGTGCAATTAGTTGTCAAGTCATTTACTTTCTATCTCTCCAATATGATTGTCCAGGGTTCCCTCCATTGCGAATCCGTCATTAGTAAAGGCTCATTTTTAGAACCACAAGGCTAGAAATGACCTTAGTGGCCAAACGCTTCCCATGTGTCATCTCATAAAATGTCCCAGCCCAACAGTTATTTGGTTCCATCTGGAGCTGTAGAGAAGGGAACACTGCAGAAGACCAACCAGACAGTCAACGTTGATAATTAGACAAGTCATCTGAGACAAAAGTCTGCTTTTCCATACTTTCACCCCTTCTCTCTCAGCTCATTTGTTGTAGAAACCCTCCGTGAATTACTTGTTAGGTATAGAGGACCCAACAGCGAACAAGCCAAAGGTCCCTACCTTCATAAAGCTTATATTTTTGTGGGGGACATTGATAAGAAACAAAAGAGAGAAATTTTATAATTTACCAGAACATGCCTCCCACAGCACTGAGCCCATGACAAGTGACACTTTTCAACTGCAAAACAACCTGCTAACAGTCAGGTTCAAGTCTGTCTGACTCCAGAAGAGTGTTTGACTCCACTTGCTCATTTTTATCGATGATTGACCTATATCAACAATAAATATCTGGTGATGGTACACAATATAAGAGATAGATTGTGGAGCACCTGTAAGCCTTCACAGACTACCAGTAATCCTCAAAAGAGATGGGGAAATGGGAGAGGAAACTCTAAATTCATACTTACATCTTAATATTCTATTAGATAAGGCAAGATGTTAGGGCCATGTTGGGCATGTCAGCTATTGTGGCCTAAGGTCCCAGGTGTTGACTTGGGGGTTTGGGGGTTTCTCTGAACAGCTTAGCGGGGAGTCCTCCCACTGTAGGCATAAAGTAAACCAGTGACAAATTGTGGAAAATTATCTGTTTGTTTTCTCCCATAGAGTGTTATGAAGGTTTCATCCCAAATCTAACGAAGAAAAATATAGATTTCCAGAAAACACAGGTGAGATGAAGCCAAAGTGTTATTTATACAAACATGAAATCACATCAACTCATTTGAATGCAGCTGTAATAAGCTGCCTTTCTTAGAAATAATGAAGCTTTAGACAAAGACATTTTTCCTCACATATAAGATAGTATTGCAGAGAGAGCTGGCATTGCATCCGTTCTATACTTGCAGCTTCACTTACACTCACTTGATCTAGCAGTAACGAGAAGCCTGTAAATTGTCAAGTGGAGTCCTGTTTGTGTTCTGGAGGGAGGGAGGGAGGGCATGCACCCACCTTTGTTTCTCACCATGCTGAGAAGTCATTTCCTTGGATTGTTCCAAAGCTCTGGGTTCTCTGAGGGTGCTTGCTCAGTGAACTGTCAAGGTAAATATCCATCTACCAGTCCTCCAGTTTTAGATCCAATAAGACGATTTCAAAAGAATGATTTGTACAGAGAAGTGATCTAAGAAAAATATATCTACCAATGTTGGGCAAAGTTAGCAGGCATGGATAGAAAGGCAAAAAAATATTGACAAGGTGATAAAATATTAGATATACGAAGGGCAATGGCAACTTTGAATGTCAAGAATAAAGTACCTATGTTGGTACCCTAAGGTACCCTCAAGTACAGGCAGATTGAATTCAGTGCAAAAAGAATCATATAGGCATCTAGCTAACACTCACATCCTTCACCACTAAGTTTACAGCTCATTTTCTATTTCTGCTTCTCTACACTCATCCTACATTCCAACTGGACTCTTACAACAGTTAAGTAGAGTGGCTTCGTGCCTTATGGGTATGGCAAATGCTTCAAGTGTCTGCTCCTGCCACAGTCCACATCAGCCGTCTCCTTGAGTTGCGATTCCATAGGTTTGTGTGACTATATCCCAATCCAATCAGGAGCATCCCAACAGTAGGGGTCCCATGTTGAACTCTCCAGGATTCTCCTTTGAGTCCCCTTTCACTGTACAATCATGCAGCATGTAAGGACCTTTTAGCCAATGAGGGACCATGTATACAACTGTAATTTCCTAAGATGATAACACCATATTTTTACCATGCTTTTTCTATGTTTAGATATGTTTAGATACACAAATACTGGAGACTCAGACTTGTGGGGGGAGGGGGAAAAAGGGCATTTATTGAAAACTTAAAATCTGGCTGGGCGCGGTGGCTCACGCCTGTAATCCTAGCACTCTGGGAGGCCGAGGCGGGCGGATTGCTCGAGATCAGGAGTTTGAAACCAGCCTGAGCAAGAGCGAGACCCTGTCTCTACTATAAATAGAAAGAAATTAATTGGCCAACTAATATATATAGAAAAAATTAGCCGGGCATGGTGGCGCATGCCTGTAGTCCCAGCTACTCGGGAGGCTGAGGCAGGAGGATTGCTTGAGCCCAGGAGTTTGAGGTTGCTGTGAGCTAGGCTGACGCCATGGCACTCACTCTAGCCTGGGCAACAAAGCGAGATTCTGTCTCAAAAAAAAAAAAAAAAAAAAAAAAAAACCTTAAAATCTGAAAAAAAAAAAAGATACACAAATACTTGCCATTGTGTTACAGTTGCCTACAGTATTCAGTACAGTAACATGCAGTACAGGTGTGTAGCCTAGGAGCAATAGGTTATACCACATAGCCCAGGTGTGTAGTAGGCTACACCATCTAGGTTTGTGTAAGTACACACTGTGGTGTTCACACAATGACAAAGTCGCCTACCATGCATTTCCAGAATGTGTCCCCATTGCTACATGATATGTGACTATGCTTGAAGTGAAAATGCTCCTTACTTATGCTCCTCCACCCATTGAACTCGGACCACAGCTAAAGAAATCCTCTTCGCAAAACTTCTCCCTTGATTTCCAATTTGTTGTGCCATCTACCCAGTTTTTAGTATTTTGAAATTTGAGTGTTGTTTTCTGGCCACTCCTATTGAAATTTCACATCTCTTCTTTCTCAGTGCCTCATTCAGAACTTCTAAATCCACATCTTCTTGTACAGTTTTCAGCATTTCCTAATTTATGATAGTGCAACTTGGTGACATTCTAAATACCTTAAGTCTTTGAATATTGTTACAATCATCTTCTGTGACTAGAATATGGTTAGAACTGGAACTCTCCTCTTTTCTGCTTTCTTATTTTTATCTGTACAATTTTTGTATTGTATTATGTTTTATTTATGATATTGGGTTATAATGCATGAATACTCAGAGTCAAGATGTTATGAATAGTGTGATTTGTGTGAGGGATTTCCCAGCACATTTTGGGATTGATCTTACACATAAGGCATTGAAAAGCCCACAAGAAGCAAATAAGGTCACTTGTTGAGACCTATGAAGAAAACAATCTGCTTTTCTTTTAAAATGGCCACCATGATTGCTACAAAATGTATCAATATAAGCACAGTAGTGGACTAAACCAAGAGAGAATGAGGAAATACGCAACCATAAGGAAGAAGTTTCACTTTATTAACCCTCTGTGAAATGTTTACTCTGTGAGGTATCATGTGGCCTATACACAGGATTCCGGTGGACATTATGAATAATATTAGGCTTTTGCAGGCCAGACTGGCTTCTGGAGTGACTATACCACCCAGAGAACCCACAGATAATAAAAGAGCACCCTGGTTTTATATTGCTAGGGTTGTCAATTTCTCATGGCCTTGAGGAGATGGTAAGTGGATTGGAGATCTTGGGATGAGAGAAGAGATGTTCTATGTAATCACACCAACAGGTATGTTCTTCGTGGTCCAAAGCTGTAAGCTCAGAAGAAGTAGTAACAAGCATTATTATTTAATGAAAATCCAAACCACCTATGTGGAACATTCGCTAAGGAACCCACCTTTTCCAAAATGTTTTGCAGGAGGTATTCACAGGAGTTTGGCATTGCATTGCGGCTATTAACAAGGTGGATCTTGGTGGGGTTTGTGAGCTTCATGGCCAGTGAAGAGGCACCGTGGAGAAGCGTTGACTTCGGAGCCCCAGGAGGTGAGTGCAGATTCATTCCCTCCCCTGTGTGCCACCCCTGCTACCCTCAGGGCCTTCTCAGAGGAAACCTACCAAATTACCAAGGAATAAAAGTGTTCATAGCTCATAGCAGACGTGGCCCAGCCATTATCTCCAAGAAAGGGTATTTTGAGAGAACAGCACCTGCTTGGTGCTTTTCAATTGAGAAAGAAGAAAGAAAAAAAATCAGCTGAAACCAAAAAGGCTACCAATGTCTATTCCTTGTGAGGAAGATATTGCAAGGGGCTTGGAAGACTTAGAAAACCTGTTCTTTATCCTGCCCTTGAGACGTTTACAAGTTTGTTAGAAAATGATTCCCTGTTTTAAACAAGGAAGTGAACAAAGGTACAAATGTGTATTTGTGTGTGTGTGTAACTATTACAGTGTGCAACGCTGAAACCAAATGCAGATAGTAAAAGTTAAAAGATTATTAAAGGACTAGTTGGCCGTGAACTTATCAACTGGCTCCAGAGTTTTTTCAGAATTTTCTAAGTAGCTGCTTAAGGGTCATAGTTTTGTTCAGCTTTGCTCTTTCCTAGGAGTACAAGGCTCAGGTAAAATACAACATTGACTCTGACATACAATTGTGGTTCTCCTTTTAGCATTATGAGAGAGAGTGTGTGTGTGAACGCTAATAATTATTAGTAAAAATAAGAGTAACATAATATAGAACATAATCTATGTTCCATAGATTTATGCTTTTTTCCTTACATGGAAAATATGAAGTAAAATCACCCCCAAGTCTTTAGTATCTATGAAAAACAGTGAAAGAACATAGGAATGCCACAGGGACTAGACAGAAAGTTTATCCGAGTTTGAAAAAATATTCTTCATACTCTACTTGGCTTAGTAGTTAGAGGATATTTTAGAATTTAGAAGCCACAAAACTATATCTCAGTAAATCTTTTAAAACTGTAGATCTGATCCTACATAATTTATAAAACACACAAACCATGTCAATGTTTTTGTTGTTTTTCTTGGGAGTATGTCTAGTATACTTTTTTTTCACTTCAAGTTCTCAAAATATCATTGTTTTTAATTAATGCAAGAATGGAAAAACTGACAATGCCTTCTCTTTTGAATATAGATTTGTTAAGAATCTATTGACTGACATATCTGGCCAATAATTATGTTTGTGCATTCTGTTCTTGGGTGTGTGTGTGTGTGTGTGTGTGTGTATGTATACATACCAATATATGTAAAGAAGTAAAAGGGTATGGAGGCAGTTTTTGCACTACGAATCTAGGGAACAGGTGGAATAGAAATGGAATTATATGTATGAATTGGTGAAAACTATATACTAAACAGTGATAATTTGATTTCAAACACAAGAAACAGAAAGTGAGAACAGAAAACCTTTGGGGCTTATTTACTCAAAGGAATTTCACAGAGTTGAGAAATGAGAATCTGACCCTGCTGAGGGACTGGCCAGGCCAACTCCCATTGTACCAACATTGCTTCAGAAGTAGACAAGAGGAGGTTTCTTTTTTTTTTTTTTTAATTTCAGACTATTACTGGGGTACAAACATTTCGGTTACATGAAGTGCTTTTGTACAGTTCGAGTCAAAGTTATAAGTGTGTCCATCACCCAGATAGTGTGCATTGTACCTGTCAGGTGTGAATTTACCCATCCCTTCCCCCCCACCTGCTTGATTTCCATTGAATTTTACTGCCATATGTGCACAGGAATGTTGATCAATTAGTTCCAATTTAGTAGTGAGTACATGTGGTGTTTGTTTTTCCATTCTTGTGATACTTCACTTAAAAGGACAGTCTCCAGTTCTGTCCAAGTTGTTACAAAAGGTATTAGTTCACCATTTTTTATGGCTGAGTAATGCTCCATGGCATATATATACTACATTTTATTAATCCATTAATGTATTGATGGGCACTTGGGTTGATTCCACATCTTTGCGACTACGAACTGTGCTGCTATGAACATTCCAGTGTCTTTTTTATAAAATGTCTTTTTTTCACTTGGGTAAATACCCAGGAGTAGGATTGCTGGATCAAATGGTAGGTCTATTTTTAGTTCTTTGAGGAATCTCCATACTATTTTCCATAAAGGCTGTACTAGTTTGCAGTCTCACCAACAGTGTATAGTGTTCCTTTCTTTCCGAATCCATGCCAGCATCTGTTGTTTTGGGACTTTTTGATAAAAGCCATTCTCACCGGAGTAAGATGATATCTCATTGTGGTTTTGATTTGCATTTCACTGATGATTAGAGATGTTGAGCATTATTTCATATGTTTATTGGCCATTAGTCTGTCTTCTTTTGAAAAACTTCTGTTCATGTCTTTTGCCCACTTTTTAATGGGGTTGTTTGATGTTTTCTTGCTGATTCACTTGAGTTCTTTGCAGAGTCCATTTATTAGCCCTTCATCGGATGTATGCTTGTGAATATTTCCTCCCACTCTGTAGGTTGTCTATTCACTGACAAGAGGAGTTTAGAATGGTGTCCAGCTGTGCTGATAGTTGCTTACATGAAAAACTCTCCATCAGGGACTGGAATAAGAATGTTTGTCCAACTCTGACCTCCCCTGAATCGCTGCAAATGGAAACAATTTTTAGACTGCACCTCATTGGATAAGATTAAAAACCAAAACAGCACTATTTATGGTTAATGGTTTAAATATTAAAGAAAATATTAGGCAAAATCTCAGAATCATCATTTTGGGAATAACATAATGAAAAAATAAACTCCATGGGAAAATTTCAATTATCTAGGAAATATTCCCCAAGCAGAATAAGATATGTTGGTGCTCCCTTGCTTTAAGGCAGATTTTCAAATAATTAAACACTATTTACCACCCCACACATAGCTTTGTCTGTTGTCCTTTCCCTCTCTGGGAATCCTAAGAAAGTAAACTCACAATTTGTATTCTTCATGGCTCTTCTGGAAACACATATGACTTCTCTGGGCCATTGTCTCAGCAGCAAGATAGCTCTTAGGCAAAGCATGATTGGTTTGTAGAATCTAAACCCCAAATACACCTCTACCTTTTGTTCACTGAGGTGGTAAGCATATATTTTTAAGCAAGAGGCTAGAACCTTGGTATAACGCCTAGAAATTCAATCTAGGGCTGAAGAATGACAGAAGATACCTGATGTTTTGTATGGAAATTTACAAGAGGGACCTAGAAATCTAAAGATTTAGAAGTTACATCAAAAAGTTTGATGAAAACTAAAAGTTGAAGCAATCAACAAGTGTGCTGAAGGAAGGACCTGGAGGGAATTGTACCTGCTCCACAAAAAATCTTTCAGGCAGTGTTCCTGAAAGCTGTATTTCAGCGAACCTTTGAAGTGGCAAGGTACACTCAGGATCTCATCATCCTATGAGGCTAATGGGTAAAAAGTGATCCCTTTCATCTTTAAACCTTTCAGACAAACTTGCATCATTCAAATTCTCCAAGCAGTTCCTTTTTCCTACAGAGAAATGACAGTTTTTTCTTTCACTTCTTTTTAAATTTTATTTCATTGTATTTATTTCTTTATTTAGTGTGTGCAAGTTGGAACATCATGGGGTCATTCCGTCTTTCATTTTCTAGGTGTGGTGTCAGAAGTGTCATCCTGAAGAAAGACAATACTGTGCATCAAAGGTGTCCTGTCTCACTGTGCTTTCAAGGGAGCCTTAAACTGAGTTGCAAATACTTTGGTTAAGCTAAACCAAAGGGTCACATATAATTTCTGAAAACACAGGTATCAAATACCTGATGGATATATTAATAAAAAGTACATGTAAGCAATGAGGAGAGTTGAAACTCCGACCAGTAGATTCTTGATTCTTTGATATGATTAAGGATATGGGCAATGGAGAATGCACTGAACAAATAATCAGGAAACCTAGACATGAATCTCACTTTGTCTAATAAATTTAGCAGAGTCTCTGGGTCTCAGTCATATTGCACATAAAATGAGGGAAGCGTTGCCTGTGTCCAGGATTATTGTGATGTTAAAATGGAAAACAACTGTTAATATATTTTGCAAAATTTTAAAACACTGTGAATATATTTAAACCATTTAAGTACTATCAATTAATGTGATTTATGAAAATTTGCTGTTTGCAATTATAACTTTATATTGGATGATATGGAATATATGTAAATCTCATTATTAAAATAATGATCTCAAACTAAACTGTGAAAAAAAACCATTTTTCACAATTTTAATACTATGTCAGATTTCTTTCATTTGCTCTGTCTGAGTACCTGCCTCCCAAAAGCAAATAAATACTCTCCGGTGTGCACATTCTCAGGGTCACAGTCTAGATCATTCCTTGAAAGCTGCTGCCTTGAGCAGGCTTATAACCAAGAGGAAGAGACTCTGTCTTCACTGTCATTCTGTGGCCTGTGGGATTGAGGTGGAGGTGAGAGGGCTGATTTGGAGCCACTCCTTGTCTTTGTTGCCTTCAGTTGGTTCAAACACAGTTCTTTTGGATCTTTTATGTCATCCTTTTCACTCCTCTCAATGCAATTGGGGTCAGGAATTTTAAAATTACATGTTTTGTAGCCCCATTTTTAGTTCTTTATATTGTTGTTGGTGGCCTGGTTGACTGCACTGAAATAAAATCCAAAGGAACAAACGGATTCTGTGCAAACTTGGCAGATTGTTTATTGCCTGGATGCCTAAGGATGCAGCAGCTCCTCGGAGTCATTCTTATCATTATTTTAATTACAGATTAGTGCATTATATATGAGAGCTCTCATGTTAAGAACCTACAAAATAATAATAGACTTTATGTATTAGTGAAGGTTTTTGCCTGGATATCAAAGTATCCTTTTTTTTTTTTTTTTTTTTTTTTTTTGGTACAGAATACTATGAGAGATGCCAGCGAAATGGTGAAATAAGGGTCTCTGAGAATTCTCTCCTTCAAAACAGCAATGAGAAAATAGGCAAAAATTGTCAGAAACAACTATTTTAGAACTCTGGAAATTAACCAGAGCAGTGATCCGGGGAGCACTTATTCAACAATAAAAATGGATAAATTGTGGTAAGAACAGAAAAGTTTTTCTATTTCCATCCTTCTTCTTCTGGCTCCACTGTAGCCTTAAAGCCAATAGTCTGCAATCACCAGTGAACACCAGCAAATTAGAGGGAGCAGAATGGGGCTGGAGATATTTCAAAGCCTCATCCCCAAAGAAGTGTCATCATTTGTCCCATCTAGTGATTCCCTAGAAGAGCCAATTACAAGGTTGAGTATACATAATACTCAGAACTCTTCTGTATGAAAAGCTATTTTTCTCAAGTGCATTTGTTAAAAAGATTAGAGGCAATTGTTTAAATTTGTGGCTGCCTGAAGCAGTATATAACAGTTGGGACAAACAATAAGCTGAGCAAAAGCTTAAAAGGAAAAGTAGGGAATGAGATGTCTATAGGAGCTTTGAAAAGCTCTAACATATTTCTCAGAATATAGAAGACCAGGCACATGCACGGGGCTGTGGGTATGCTCAGGGAAGACCTGACAAGGGTCTAAGGTTTTACTTCTGGCTGATCTTGAGGTTCCATGTAAGCAGAAAGTGAAGGGGAAGGCAGAGTTGTACAGTCCCAAATCACTGATGAAAATGTGGCCCAACACATACATAACCTCTTGGGAAGGACTGGGTGACTTGTTGCTTCCATGTGTTTAAGGAAATTTCTGTGTCTACTCATTCCCTAAACACTAAGCTAACTGAACAATAACTTCAGTTGCAAGATATGACAGAGAATATATGTTTTACATAATTAGTCTCTAAAATCATTTGACAGACAACAATGAAAACAATAAGCAATAGCAACAAGCCCCAGGATAAAGGGAAGAATCTGAGTTCCAAACCTGTCACAATATATTATATAAAATGTCCAATTCACACACACACACAAAAAAATATAACACATGCAAAGAAAAAACTATGACTTATATACAGGAAAAAAAGAAATAAAAAGAGACTCTTAAGGAAGCCTAAGTGTTTGACTTACTAGACAAAGATTTATTTTATTTCATTTTATTTTTTTCAGACAGAGTCTCACTCTGTTGCCCTAGAATGCCATGCATCAGCCTAGCTCACAGCAACCTCAAACTCCTAGGCTCAAGTGATCCTCCTGCCTCAGCCTCCTGAGTAGCTGGGCCTACAGGCATGCGGCATCATGCCCGGCTAATTTTTTCTATATATTTTTAGTTGGACAATTAATTTCTTTCTATTGTTAGTAGAGACGGGGTCTCGCTCTTGATCAGGCTGGTTTCAAACTCCTGACCTTGAACGATCTGTCTGCCTCAGCCTCCCAGAGTGCTAGGGTTACAGGCGTGAGCCACCACACCCAGCCTAGAAAAATGTTTTAAATAAGCTATTTTAAATATGTTGAAAGACATAAAGGAAACTATATCTGAAGAATTATAGGAAAGTATAAGAATGAAGTCTCACCAAATAGAAAATATTAACAAGAAGTATAAATTATTTTTTTAAAAGAAGCAAATACAAACTCTTGACTTGAAAAGTACAAAAACTGAAATTAAAAATTCGCTATAAATACTTAGAAGATTTGAGCGGGAAAAGGGGAACCTCAGAGACCTATGAGACAACATGAAACATACCAACATTGGCATAATGGGATTATGGGATTCTCAGAAGGAGAAGAACAAGAAAAAAAAAAAAAGAAGGCATGAATGTATTTGAAGGAATAGTCACCAAAAAATCCCCAAATTTGATGAAAAACTTATATACAGATCCAAGAAGCTCAGCACCCTAAAAATAGGACAAACTCAAAAAGATCCAAAAGTGGATACATTATAAACAAACTGTCAAAAGGCAAAAAGAGAATTTTGAAAGCAGGAAGAAAGAAACAAAGCATCATGTACAAATAAGCCTCAATAAAATTAACAGCTAATATTTCATTAAGATCATAAAGGCCATTAAGACCAGAAGGCCATGAGATGCCATATTCAAAGAACTAAAAGAAAAAGAATGTCAACAAAGAATTCTAAATCCAGTAAAATTATCCTTTAAAAATGAAGAAGGATGACATCAGCAGGATGGTGGAATGGAAGGTCCTCCACTCATATCTCCCTACAGCAACAATAGTTTGGCAGACATCTATGGACAAGGCTCCCCATAACAACCATAATTTAGCACCCATCCAAAGGAAAACCACCTTTGTGGAAGATTTGAGGTTCAGGTAGGAGATTATAAAACCCTGGTGGAGCCTAAGACTGAGGAAAGTTGTTTTAAGAAGAACAGGTCCATGCCCAGATGACAGGCTCACTGACTGTGGTCCTGGGTATAGACTGAGAAAGAGCACCATTCCTGATTTCAAACTATATTAGAAAGCAATAGTAATCAAGATAGATGGTAATGGCGTAAAGACAGACACATAGACCAATGAAACAAAATAGAGTGCCCAGAAATAAACCCATGCATATATGGTCAATTCATCTTTGAAAAGGGCACCAAAAATACATAAGAGAGGGAAAATAGTCTCTTCAAATAAATAGTGTTGAGAAAATTGGATGTTGGCATGCAAAAGAATGAAATTGGATCCTTATATCATACAGAACAATTAAGTCAAAATGGATTAAAGTCTTAAATGTAAAACCTAAACCATAAAACTCCTAGAAGAAAATATAGGGAAAAACTTCCCTAACATTGGTTTTGGCAGTGATTTTTTTGGATATAACACCAAAAACACAGGCAACAAAAGGTAAAATAAACAAATGGGATTACATCAAACTAAAAAGCTTCGCACCACAAAAGAAATTATTAATAGTGAAGAGACAACCAGAAGAATGGGATAATATATTTGCAAATCACACATCTGATAAGGAGTTAATATCCAAAATATGTAAGGAACTGAAGCAATCAACATTATGAAAACAAATAACTCAATTAAAAATTGGCAAAGGATCTAAATAGACATTTTGCTAAAGAAGACATACAAATGGCCAACAGGTATATGAAAAAAATGCTCAACATCACTAATCATAGGGGAATGCAAATTAAAACCATAATCAGATATCACCTCACACCTATTAGAATGACTATTATAAAAATATGAAAGATAACTAGTGTTAGGATGTGGAGAAAAGGGAACCCACATGCACTGTGTGTGGAAATGTAAGTTAGTATAGCCATTTTGAACAACAGTATGGAGGTTCTTTAAAAATATTAAATATAGAAACATGATATGATCCAGTAATTCCCCTTGTGGGTATATATCAACAAAAAATGAAATCCAGTATCTTAGAGAGGCTCACTCCTATTTTCATTGCAGCATTTTTCACAATATCCAAGATATAGAATTAAACTAAGTGTCAATGGAAGAGTGAATAAAAAAATATGATATATAATGAGATTTTATTCAGCCATATAGAAGAAGGAAATCTTGCCAATTGTGACTTGAGTGAACAAGGAGGACATCATGCTAACTTAAATAAGCCAGACAAAGCAAGAAAAATACTTTATTACTCAATTATATCTAGAATCTAAAAAGTTTAACTAATAGAACCAGAGATTAGAATCATGATTGCCAGGGATGGGGGCCACAGGGAAAATGGGGAAATGTTGGTCAAAGGCTACAACCTTTCCCTTATAAGATCACTAAGTTTTGGAAATCTAGTGTACAGCATAGCACTCTAGTTAATAATACTGTATTGTACATTGAAAAAAAAGATATATTTGACTACAGGAAAATTAAGGAACTTTGACATTAAAAATGCTATATTTCAACAGGCAAATTATAGTGAAAGAATGGGGGTGATAGCAAAATGGTGCAGGATTTTTTCAGGGGGTATTGAAATGATCTGAAATTTCTTGTGGGGATGGTTGCAGAACTCTGTGAATATAATAAAAACCATTGATGTAATTCCAGCACTCTGAGAGACCAAAGCGAGAGGATTGCTTAAGGCCAGGAGTCTGAGACCAGCCCGGCAACACAGTGAGACTCTGTCTAGACAAAAAAATAAAATTAAAATTA